GTCAATAAGGAATAGGCGAGATCAGTTGGTAGGACACATTCTCAGGCATGAAGGTCTAGTCAGAGACGTATTAGAGGCAGAAATAGGAGTTAAGAGGAGTAGAGGTAGACCAAGATAAGATTACTGTTCGCAAATAGTTAAGGATGTGGGTTGTTCTAGTTTTAGGGAAATGCGAAAATTAGCTATGGATAGGAAAGAGTGAAGGTGCGTGTCCAACCAGTCTTAAGACTGACAACCTTATGATGATGATGCGAGTTGATGCCTTCCTCATTTAAAGATTTTGGACACTAAGAATGGGAACTAACGCCGTTGATGAATGATGATGGGCTTTTTGTAACATTGCGTTTAAGCTGTGCTTCATAACTTACATTATTCCTTGCTGTAACGTCTGCTCCCAGTTCTATGAGTCTCTCTATAAGAGATGTTTTGTTGTCTTTGACTGCATACATCAAAGGTGTCATCCCAGTCGCCTGGAAACAAATACGTCTTTGCAATTGTTTGCTCGATAAAATATATTAGTTTTATAGAACGTTTCGATCATTCCCCTGTGCATGTTTCGTGTCATTTGACAATCACGTTCGATTATAAATGACAATATTTCTGTAGAAGAAGCTCCAGATTTAAACTCACTTCGCAATTATATTTGAAAACATTATGGTAATAGCAATTGCAAAATCAAAAGCTCTCAAATGTTTCAAAGATGAATTTATTATTCACGAAAATAAAATATAAAANTCAAAAGCTCTCAAATGTTTCAAAGATGAATTTATTATTCACGAAAATAAAATATAAAAATTTTAAGACAAATATATTGTATTCACACATTTCACCATCGGGTGATGAATCTACAGACGTGTCTGATTTAAAACTATTTATATTAACTGAGGGATCGGGGGTTATTCTTGTTGTTATTATTATGTTAGGTGGTTAAACTTAAGAGTGTACAATATTCTATAGACAAAAATTGTTGTAACTTCAGTCAGCAACACTTTTTTGACCTGAAATTAGGGTGATTCTTCCAGTGTTAGAACCACCCTGAAACAGACCCGGAATCCATGGTAGAATAAAGATTCGGGCTATAGGGCCGTGATGGTCTAAGTGAACTATTCTGTCCAAAATCTTTATTCAACTATAGTCTTTGGTAGGTTTACAAATTAAAATATGTTAGCGCAAAACTGGCAAATTCTTTTCCTTTTATTTGTTGAAGCTGATATATGCTGAAATCAATTGTTATCTATATTAAATTGACATAATGCTATTATTGTTTACATATTACTTTAATAGTAGCGTTTCTAGTAGAATAAGTAACTGTCTAGGTATAATAAATGAAAACTTCTGAACAATTATATTCACCAGTTTTTAGTTTAAGTTGTTTAGATTGTTATAAGGAATGTGTAGGTCGAACGAGTAGATCGTTGAAAATTCGGGTTAATGAACATTTATCGAGTTATACCTATCAATAAAAATTGGATATCACTTATGCAGAAAGCTTAGAGATTAATAGATATATTAACAAGATTTAGCGTTAAATCTACAAACATAATGTAGAGACCATGATGACCATTAAGTTTTTGCTAAATCATCACCTGATGAAGTCAATGTTTGGCGAAACAGTTACAGTGTGCAATACACAAAGAATTTAGTTCTTTTCTCTTTACTTGGGAATAACGATGGGACTTCTTTGCTGGACCCAGCAATGTCTAAATGTGTTCCCAAAGGTAATTACTTACAGGATCGGCAATACCAGCAAGAGGTGCAGTGTTGGCATCTTCTCCTGCACTTGCGATACTTTTCTCGATGGATTTCAACACTTGGTCCACCGGAGACCACTCACTCTTTTGGCACAAACTTAACACCTTTTGTCCAGCATCCCTTACAACGGCTCCAGCACTTTGCGGTTTTTGTGCAGCACCTTCTTCCGCCTCTCCATTATTGTTAACGCCGTTATTGTTATTAGTTGACACCTGATCGTCTTTATCTTGGGGAGGTGCTTTGTCTTTTTCCTCTTTTTTCGCGTCATCCCCGGAATTTTTATCTTTCGGAGGTCCTTTAGAACCCCCCTTTTTACCGCTGGGTTGCGACATTATTTTTTATTATTACCAATACCCGTTATTTTCTAATGGTTCTCGTTAAAACAGTTAAAAGTGTTGCTCTCTGATTTTGCAACATGGCTTGCATGTTTCGTGTGCTGGATAAAGTTAGAAAAAGTTGCCCGCCGTCCCGAATCTTGGCAATATCTGGGAGCTTTCGCCAATACAAGGGGCGGTACTACCCTTCCAACGATTGTAGAAGGGGCTGCCTTGATTCACTACTCTATTCCGTTAATTTATTCGGAAACAATGACCCAATGGAAATCCATACGAACATTATTTCTTCGTAATAGTTAATATGTTAATCAGATTTAATATTCCGTTTATTGGAATGGAATTTAATTATACAAAATATGTTACAAATTTTAAATTAACAAAAAGACCGTTTGTTGTTACGCCTCGCATCAATAATTCCCAAAAAGTTAGATATTAATGTATGCAATTAACTTTTTCGGGAATGAACTGAATAAAATCGTACTTAAAAAGGGTTAAAAAGGACAATCGCGAATAACTCTAAAGGCACTTACATCGGCCAAAGGAAACGGAAGTTTCAAGGAGAGTGAAAGAACATAGATCAGAAGTTTTAGCCTGAAATTGATGGTCTAAAAGTCCTATTATAGGAAAATAAAATTATCTTGAAGCACTGTTGCTGGTTACTTTTAAGAAGAAAACCGAATGCTTCAAAGTTAAATTTTAATCCGACAAAATTAAATTGTGGATACCAAAAAATCAGTTAAAGAACGAAATATTCCAAAAAAAAAAAACAAGCGATATCTATGCATCTGTAGAAACGTTTTTGTTTCTCTTTACTTATTTACATTTATTAGACAATCGAAGCAATAAAAGTTTATCAAGAAATGCACAAACTGGTGTAATGGTTATAATTTTCAAGGTTATTGATAACTATTTAAATAATTCCACTTTTATCACTCCGAACCATTGTAGACATCGTGCTCTCATAGTAATCGTTAAAATATGACCACTCTTCTGCCACAGTTATCAAAAACATGCAAACTTTCATTGAAATCGACTAGACTAGTGTAGGTATATCTATACAATGGTGTATTTGTTTCTTCAAACATGGTGCACTCTGTTTCTTTAGTTTTAAGAGGAAGTTACACCGGAAATTGAGTTACTATCATCAGGTAGGTAAAGAGCCACTGATTCCAGTAACATTGGGAACGTTGCTTGAGAAAGCAGTGGGAAAATATGAAGACAGGGAAGCTATCAAAGTCATACACCAAAACAGAACGTTGACTTACAAGGAGGTCCTAAACGAATGCGATAAATTAGCGGCAGCTTTGAAGGATGTAGGTTTAGAAAGAGGAGACAGAGTTGGAATATGGGCCACGAACATTCTAGAATGGTACATAACCATGTTTGCTTGTGCTAGAGCTGGAGTCATTCTAGTAAGTAGTTCATCATTTAATTGACTGAAAATTGTACAACCATGAGTTGTTTCAAACACATTTGGCATCAACTTAATCTTGTGATAAGAAATACGTACCTATACATTTTTGGGAATTCAAAAAGGACACCCGGAAATCCTTATCAGAGAAAGAGCCTCCAAATTATCCTTCCTAAGTTCTCAAAGAATTTCTTATGATATTAATTTATATTCATCTACAGGTTACTATAAATCCAGCGTATCAGCCTCCAGAGTTAGAATACTGTATTAACAAAGTTGGAATAAAGACATTAATAAGCCAGGACAAAGACAAATACAAAGATTACTACGACTTTTTAACGGACATAGCACCCAGCATACGGTCGTCAGAACCAGGGAAAATAAACGATCCAAAACTACCCTCTTTAAAATCAGTTATCGTCACAGGAAGCGAAGAACGAAAGTAAACATTTATTAAATACAAATATCTAAAGAAATCTATCTAAGAAAGGTTGAGAATACATATATATAAAAAAACATACCCTCTCACGTCTGTTGACCCATGGGTGTCTCATGGTGGTTGGTGGTTTTCCTGTTTTAAAACTTATAACTTACTAACTTGCTTTTTCAACTTGAAGTATGAGCCCATATAGAGGGATGACTAAGCGTCGACGTTTTTAACAATAATGAATAGGGAACTAATTATGAAACACAAAAACTCGTTCTAAATGTTATTATTCTCGACAAACAATACTATTTCTAATAATTAATCTTGTAGGCCCTATTTCTGGCACATACTTAATGATTTTTTGAATCTTCCAGGGGCGCTTTTAATTATAACGAGTTCGTAAACAGGCCCAGCAAACAATCTGTAAACGCAATAAAAAATAATCAGCATCTTATAGATCCAGATGAAGGATTTAATATACAATTCACTTCAGTAAGTTTATTAAAAATTTTGGTAGACTTCGTCCAGGCAAAACCAGTTTATCCACACAAAAAATTAGCTGGTATCTGATTCAGGAACAACCAGTTTTACTGGATAAACTAGTTTTGGCCAAAGGAAAACTTGTCTGGCCTGTAATATATATATATATTTTAACGACGAATAAAATAAAATTATAGGGCACCACGGGGTTTCCAAAGGCAGCTTTGGTAAATCACTTTACCATGGTAAATAATTCTCTGCAGATAGCTCTTAGGGCGAACATTTTAAATAAACACCATCGCATTTGTATACAAGCCCCGTTCTTTCATGCCTTGGGGACGGTTGTTTCTCTGCCAACAGCGCTACATGCTGGAGCCACCTTGGTTGTCCCGTCGCCCACTTTTAAGCCCCATGCTGTTTTGGACGCCATTAAAAACGAAAAGTGAGTGAAAATATGATGAAAATTCATTTTTATTAGTGTATAGAGCAATCGTGGGCAAATTTGGATGCTGTTGTAGATGCTCTGTGATAACAGGAACCCCAACTATGTACATTGATTTGGTCAGAGCCCAGGAAGAGAGACAGGAAAACATCAGTTTAGATCTCGCAATAACTGGAGGGGCTCCATGCTCTCCCCGTTTATTCGAAGAAATGAGAAACGTTCTAAATGTCCAAAAACAACAAGTACTAGCACCCACGGGTGTGATTGACACCCTGATTTTAAAAATTGTTTGTTTCTAGTCCGTGTACGGTTTAACGGAATTGACCGCTGTAGCGTTTCAATCGTTAGTAAATGACGATAAAGAAACCGTGCTGACAACGGTCGGATGTGTTGGTGATCATTTGGAAGTAAAAGTGATCGATGATACTGGGAAGATAGTGCCGTGTGGGACTCCTGGAGAACTGTGCGTCAGGGGTTATTCTTGCATGTTGGGATACTGGGGAGACGAGGAAAAAACGAAAGAGATGATGGGACCTGACAGATGGTTAAAAACGGGGTAAGTAGCCAATAATTAATTAAAAATATCCAATATCATAATATATTTGTATTCTGATTTTGACGCTATTACACTTGTTGTCACCATTTTCTTTTCCTCATGAAAAGACCCCTGTTCCTTTGTCCCACTAACCTTCCCCCAACACACTCACAATTTTTTTCCCCTGCTTCTATTGCATCTTAATTCTGGAATTCAGATTCTTTTCCATACAATATTTAGTACGGCCATCACTTAAGGATGTTCTAGAACCTTTACGTATCGACGTGCCATTTTTATAAAGAAAAGTTTAATCAGGTCATAGACGTGCCATCAAATAATTCTGTCTCTGTGATTATTGGGAAAATAATAATAATAAATAATATCAACTTAAACTTTTTTATTTACTACAAAAAAATAGGAACGTTTTGCAATGTTTAAATTATACGTGTAATTTAAATTAAAGTAAAATTAGTGTTACTTTCGTTGTTGCAGATTAGATGACAAATAACTTATGTTACGGTTGTAAGATGTTACTTTTAGCAGAATGCATGCTGAACTGGAGTTATCTGTCAAACGATTTCTTATCGAGTTTTTAATGTTATTCATCTCTGAAAGAAATGACTCGCAGGCATAGGTTGATGAAAAAATATTGTTAAAAGAGCATAAGCCAGCTTCTTCAAACAATTAAACAATTAAAAGTGTTTGGTTCCCTTTCTCTAGCTCCGCTCATTGGCAATTTACCACTACATCCGCTCAATCGTTGTTCATTAACGCACTTATTTCTTCTTTAATGTCTTCTTGCACTTCCGTCTTCATCTTCAACATATCAATCACCATTTTCAGCAGATTTTGCGTCAGGCCTTTATTCTTTTTCTCTATTTGCCCAATTTTCTACTCCATCTCTAGTTTTCTACCTTATCCCTTTCGATTTACACATCCCTTTTACTTTCCTGAATTCTTTTAACGTATTAGTCTATAAAAGCTTTGATAAACTATCTTATCATATAAATTAGGCATCACCAACATTATTGATTAGTGTTATTGGTTTATTACCCTTTCAGTGACGTATTCATTCTTGAAGAGAGCGGCTATGGTAAAATTGTCAGTAGAAAAAAGGATGTAATTATAAGGGGTGGGGAAAAAATATTCCCCAAAGAAATCGAAGATTTTCTGACTGCTCATCCCGACATTGTGGAATGCTATGTACGTAAATCATAGTAATGATTACGTTACGTTACAATTAAAACGCAGTGTTGATGGGGGTGATTTAATTTAATCCTTTTATTTCAGGTGGTTGGGGTTCCCGACGAAAGGCTAGGTGAAGAAGTTGTTGCATGTTTAAGAATGAAAAATGGTACCGTTGTTTCTGAGCTAGATATCGCACAGTTTTGCAAGGGAAAAATTTCTCATTATAAAATCCCAAAGAAGGTCAAAATTGTAGACGATTTTCCAAAGACAGGATCCGGTAAAGTTCAGAAATTCAAATTACAGGAACAATTTGCAGCGGCTTGTTAATTAATAAATTGTTAGAGATTGATTTATTAGTTAATTTTCTATTTTTCTATTAAAAAATATAGTCGTATATAGGTGGTTTTCTTATTTATTTTTTTACCGAATCAAAAAATTGTTATTTTAATCTACTTGATTTTCTTGGTTGATTTTATTTGTTTTATTAATTAAATATTTATCTACTCATGTGTTATCAATTGTTTAAATATGTAATGAAGTGAATAAATTTCTTTAAAAAAACACATAAGCCAAAGTTCAAAATCATTTATAAGTATGTTGGTAAATATTCTTACAAGAACGAGGTTGAAAAAATCGCGATTTACCCCTGCAGTTAAGGGTAAAAGTGACCAATAGTAGCCAGTTTACAGGACGTGCGTGATCCTTACCTAAGCACGCCACTTCCTGTCTACGGTTCCGGTATTCAAGAAGATCGAGGTTATCGATGTATGTACCTACGCCACGTTTAGAAGTTAAAACGAGAACTAAGTCCTCGTACTTTTCATTTTTTCTTTTCAAAAATATCGTAGATACTAAACGTACTAAAATATTTCATTCTATCAATGGGTGCCACGGATTTTTGTATTCTTTTCGATGTTTTTAAGACATCTGAAATGTAAAGGGTGATTCTTTAACACATGTAATAGTAAAGAGAGAGAGAGAACATTAATCATGCAAAAATTTGCAATTAAATCTTCATAAACATAATTTTATGAAAATAAATAAAAGTAAAACAAGAATACTGGTATGCAAGGGAAGAGTGATTATAAAGATAGGAGACGAAAGATTAGAAGAAGTGGCTGATTTTAAGTATCTAGGAAGTGGTGTGATTGACACCCTGATTTTAAAAATTGTTTGTTTCTAGTCCGTGTNGTAAATAATAATGCATTCAAGTTGGTGTATGTTGGGTTATCTATATATTATATTACAAATTATAGTTTAACGTTTAAAAAATATATAAATTAGCATCCATAGTTGCACCTACATGGAGAAAATATAATTTAAAGATGAAAATTCATCGATTTACTTCAACAAAACCTAAACTATAGCTCAATTACAACTTTTGTTTTAAATTGTCCTGGCGCCTCCACCAAAATTCTCAATAAATTTTTTGTAATTATTGATGATGTTTGCATATATCCATAAACGTCTCATTTTCGGCATTAATGTGATAGTTTTAGAAGATTGAGGTACACAATGACAAATTTGATTCTTCTTGCATTTGGACAAAATCATAGAAAAGCTCAACCTATATTAAGTTACTTTTAAGAAAATCTAATCAGACAAAAAACCAATAGTTATAATTTTCCAATCGTTTTCCACATACAATTAACTACTAGAGATTGATAAAAAGATTAAAGGATTTAAGTCCTTGTACGAATTTGTTAGTGCAAACAGGATCTAGGGTTAACACTGTTGACCAAAATTATAAAAAGGATGAATCTGATAGAGATTTCGATGTTTTCCAGGGAATTATCAGGGATCTTTACTTAAAAAAGGGAGCAATATTTATAAAAATATCCTAAAGTAAATAAACCAATGTCCCTTGTTACTTAATCGAAAGAAAATTCCCAAACAAAATCGTATAACAGGATGAATTTCATCAACCAAAAAATAGAAAAATGATTTGAAAATGTAGAAAATTAGGAACAATAATTTAATAATCCGTTTAATCGTCAGTAATTTTAAATGTTAGTGTTTGATTTACCATTTGCCGACCTTCGGCAAAAGAAGAATTGGCAAATTAATCTTAGGATTAGTACGAATTTTATGTCGGACTTTTCACTATCAAAAATTGCCAAACAAAAGCATTTTCTATTTATTGCAGTTATAATTCATAAAACTGTAAATAGCAGAACAAAATTGTAATAGTAAAAAAATATTATTTCTTACCGTGCCTGGTCCATCAAAGTTCCTCAGCCGGTCAAAAATTCTTTTTATTTTATCCGCTTCGTGGCAAATAAAATAGGAATTGTGGGACACATGGTACCCGTAGGTATCGTAGATTTCGTCTAATTTTTGAGCTAAAGTTTTCCCATTGGAATAAAGGTAAGAAACCAGTGTTGCCATTACCAAAGCCGCACTGATTCCATCTTTATCCAAAACCTATCACCTATCTTTTGGGATGAAGATAGACGGATTAAATTGTTTAAAACAAATCAAAGTTAGTTTCAATTGTTTCGTGAATAAAAATGCGTGCGTCGATGCTACTTAACTATTTATTAATTCTTTTTTTCATTAAACCTATTTACGTATTACAAAGGCATAAATAACTAATCGATTGAGCATTTGGAATGTATAGGTAGATAATACAAAAAATTACTCAATTTTCTCGTGGTATCAGTCCATGTACTTCAGGTTGTAAAAACTCTGCCAGAATGCCTTCTACCATTTCCTTTAAGATTTCGTGAAGTTTTGTTCTGTCTCTGAAACAAATGAAAAAATTTGCAATTAATATACAGGGTGGAAATGTATTAAATACTTAGTTTAAACGATGTACATACTTTTCTGTTGGTGAGGCACATAACTCGGTGTAGTATTTTATTTTTGGTTCAGTCCCACTCGTTCTTAAAGTCGCCACAAAGCCATTTTCAAAGGAAAACGTTATCATTTGACTACTCTTGGAAACAGGCAAAATGGCTTTCTTATCAGCTTGATCACTGTCATATCCTGTTGTTAAATCTCTAACACCCGTTATCTTATACTTCCCGTTCAAAAGAACTTTCGGATA